ACACATATATATATATATACACACACACATACATATATATATATATATATATATATATATATATGCTCTACTGAGATCCAGCCATTGTTTCTCACAGCATAGTTGTTTTTCAGTATTTATATATATATATATAACATTAATTGGTTATTTACATACTCCTGGTTGTTGTGAAATATATCTTTCATTCTTGCCTATGTACATACCATAGGTATGACAAGGTGTGAGGCCAAAATTACCCCCAAGCTTTGGTCATACATACCAACACATACATGTGTTGGTATACTGCAATAAAATATTTGATTTATTATTATTATTCATAATTGTCAATAATAATGGATTACCTAATTACATACATTGGTCTAAATTTAGCAAGGTAGTAAACACACAAAATATTAAACCATAACAAATATCTTTTTTTTTTAAATCACATATTATAAAAAACATAAAGACACTGTCTAGCTAATTGTATTTATTTGTCTTACCCTAACTGTTTTGACAAGTATCCTACATTAGCATCAGCTTTTTAGGTATGTACATTTTTTCATTTAATTATTATTTAAAATACATTACTATAAAAATATGAATAGGACCATATAATCATAATAATATTATTATTATTGGAGATTAATTTCTATTAAATGAAATCAAATGAAAACATTTTTTTATTTAAAATTTAGAATTATCATCATCCTCCAATAGTGAGTCCTATTAACTACAGTATTTTACCAAAATGGAACAATGAATTTGGAAAAAAATGTTCAAACACCGAATAATCTTCTCCCAGATACTCGCAGTTCAATTGTTTCTTTAACTTTGCATTCCTTCAAAAATTTGATTTAACATAAAAGTTTTTCTTCTTGGCTCTTGTGTTTACCAATTGTCATTGGTTTTAATTCCTTAATTTTACCTTGAGGAAGAACAATGTCAAATTGATTAAGTATTCAGAATAAAGGAAGATTTATATCTATCTAACCAACAAGATGTAAGAAACTCTTACTTTCGAGTGCAGTTGTACTGTTCTGGTATTCGATCATTTGTATAGAAGAAGCACAATACACATTCCCATTAACCCTTATGTCAGAAAATAACAAGGCCAACTAAGACTTTTCAAAATCCATTGTTACTTTCTCTAGCAGCTTCACAAAACATCTTTGTTTAAATTCACTTCCTTCCCATCATTTAAACACAATACCAAGTTTCTACAAGTACCTTTGTAACATCCAAGCCATATGGATTGTAGGTTTCAACATCACCATGGCAACCACTATTAGCTGTTGTCACATGCCATGTTACTTCAGTGTCCTGTAAAATGAAAATTGGCTAGTTGAAAATTGATAAATGATAAATCGACTATTGCTGTGAAAGTCAAAGTACTAAATATAATTAATAGTTTTCATTTCAATCTTGTTTGGCACTTTATTTTATTATTATTATTATTATGGCTGCTATGGAATACTTGATTGTGTTGTTTTTTTTTTCAAATATAGATACCGATATATCTTCTTAAGATCTTCTAAAAATTAGTTACATAATTAAAAATATTTTACCGATACAAGTTTCACATTGTTAATATTTGTTTCATCCTGGGACCCCATTGGAAATAAGTTTGAAGTTTTAAAGACATTCATGACTGATATCTTTCACCATTTTAATATCCTGTATTCTTTAATAAGATGGTAATGTTTTGTAAATTTTATCAATGTACTTTATTTGATGTAAAAAAAAAATGATTGATTAAAGGAGCACAAATTAATACCAAATATTCTATTCATTGCTTTGGTGCATTATACGTAATAATAATAATAAAAAAAAACTTAAAGCAGAAAAAAATGTTGACCCTGTAAAATTAGTGATTCAGCAGAGTCAAACTAAGAACACCAATATTTCTAGTGTGGTATCATACAACTAGACCAGTCAGCTTTTGTTGATGATAATGAATGAATTCAGCCCGAGTATGTATTACAATGTAAATTATAATGCATACTTTGTCAGAAAGAAATTTAATAAAGGATGCATGCATTAACTTTTGGTGCTCTTGGGAAACTATCATGAATGTATTCTGTACCAATTAATGCTCTTCAGATCACATAATCGTAACCTTAATGATTGTGATGAAATATGGATTTCACACACCTTTTTATTACCAAAATATAGTAAAGCAAGGTAATTAAATTTTAAGCACTTGTTAAGTGTTGTTCACCTTGCAGGTTTTTCAATGGTTTAGTAAGTTTTATAATCTTACTAGGAGTTGGCCTTTAATCCCGCATAATCTATATATTTTGTGCCTAATACTGCAATCTGTTGTAATCAGTTTATAGTATTATACTGGAATTTGATAAATTTCTTTGCCAATATGGTCAAAAGGTCATTCAACTAATCCTTGTAATCTTGAAGATCAAGTAATTTTACAAACCATATTAAGGTTAGACATTAATTATCAAGTTACAATTTACTACAATCTTTCATATTTCAGGATTCCCATCACTTAACATAACTTATTATTTTGGTTCTCTTTGCATTACTCTATATTGGCTATGTATGGCAAAAGTACAGAGTATTCTTTCATACACAGTACTAAGCTGTGGAATGAAAGATTTGTAAACTATAGTTCACTTAAGCCTTTATTGTATAATACTGCTGTGCACTTAGTGTGTATTGTCCCAATGGGTTAGGCATATTTTTATCCTATTTGTATGACAGTCAAAATATAAGAGAACCTGGATGAGGGCCTGGATACTTTGTTAATGAATATTGTTGAAATTCTTGAGATTTTATGTAAATATGTTTGGTTGTTGACTGCAGTATGTTTGAATATACCCTTCCACCATGCAACTTTTGACAATTCATGTTAATGTCCTAGTTGTTTTTATTGAACCATGAATGTATCAGCCCATGCTGTGAATCACAAATGCATTTGGTTTATTGAGTATTAAAATGGATGAAATTTGTGGACAGAGGGTCCTACCATGTAGTATATGGTTAATGGATGTTAAAAATGACAACTTTCAAGCCTATATCCTGCGGTGTTTGAAAGAACCCCTTTTTCCCAGATGCCCTTTTAATTCAATTGAAAAGTACCATTTGCATGTTGTTGTTGAAATTAACTCCAAATATTTTTAATTTGACTTTTTTTTTTCGCCATTTCCGGGTGTTATATCTCTAAAATTCGCTCCAATTATGGTAGGGCTGAGGTGGGTGTGCCTTTTGTGAAAAATTAGAACCCCCTTCAACCCCTTAAAAAATCCTGCCTGCAGGCTTGAAGTTTCTCATGGTCCACCCTGTTCTCATTAATATCAAATCACATGGCAGCAGCAATTAAGAATATTTTTATTTATTAAATTTCATTCACATCTAACAGCAAGTAACTCACCAATTACAGGATGGATGATGCTAAAACCAAGTCTCAGTATGAGGGCATAGGGAGTGCAGTTGTGTTTAGTCATGAGTAGAAACCCTGCTGTCACAGAAATTAAACCCAAGACCCTAGGATTAGAAGGCAAGCAAACCACCAAGCTATTATAGCTCCACTCCACAAGAGTATGCTGCACATTCATAAGCAAGAAGGAAATGTAGTCTTGCTATTATGTTGCAAATTATGCTTATTATGATGATGATGAATGTAAATTGCTACGGTACCTTTAAAAAGGAAAGTAATGTTTACCACTGGTAAAATATGTTCCCCTGTCATCATTTCCTATGCAGTCCTTCATTATTTACAAAACCACAGTTTGATTGATGGGAGAACAAGTTATGTTTGCTTGAGATGTTTATGTCATAATGGAGCCATGCGATGTGACTGTCGCCAGAATTTAATTCTTTTCGTAAGATCCAATCATTGTAGGTTGTAATTAATAGGGTTAAACAATTCAAAATGTTTGGCAACACATATCCATTCCAGACCCTGAAAGCGCAAAACTTATTCAAATAACCATATATTTTTATATAAGTTTTTCCATAATTTTTCAAAGAGATGTTCATGAAGATCTAAAGCAACATAATAAAAAACATTTTGAGCAACTATATAAGCTTTTAAATTTCATTAATGGACTTTTTGTTTGGCCTTAATCATCAGTTTTAAAACCCTAAATCAGTGAGGGTAGGGTACATTACAACTATTCTATTTACTTTTATTCATACTCACATCATTGTTACCAATTAGTGGTGACATAGATAGCTCAATAGTTGTATCACCCAGCAGCCCATTTCCATAGTGCACTTGTCGCTAGTTTGGGAAAAAATAAAAAAAGAAAATTGTTATAAATTAGACATTGTTACCTTATAAAGTAGTTTTTTTAAAGAAGTTAAATTTATTATTTTGATAAAATTTAATTTAAAAAAATAGTGAACTTGTTGCTAGGTTGGTAAAATTAAGCAAAGAAAATTGTAATAAAAAAAACATTGTTGCCAATGTTAACTTTAATGGCAAGTTTTTGATCATATTAAGTTATACTTATTGAAAAAACAAGTATTAAAAGATAATGATGTGGTTTTGTTTAATAAGCCAGACTGTGCAAGACTGTGGGGGGGGTTCATTACCCCTCCCACACTGCAGTCCGTTTTACCTTCCCAGCTAGTGGTGGCCTCAGCGGGGGACAGGGGGGCAAATTAAGCCATAAAACTCTCCCCATGTACCCCAACAGGTATTTTTTTTATTCCGGGCTGTCAACCAAGGCCTTGGTTTTGACCCCTTCCTCGGACACTTCAGACCCATTGTTGAAAAAATTTCTTGTGCCACCGCTGTTCCCAGCATATGCCGGTACCCATTTATACACCTGGGTGGAGAGAGACAGCGTAGATAAAGTGTCTCGCTTGAAGACTCAAGCGACTTGCCAAATGCAATCTTTAACCTCTGGTATGATGTACCACACTGAACAATACTGAAATAATATTATTAAATCAAAATGAATGCGATTGTTCATGCATATCGATGGATCTTATCTTAAAAACTAACATTTCATTGCTCACATAATAATAACACACACAATCAAAGTACTGTAATTTGTGTAAGCAGTAATGTTTTTTGTTTTTTTTAAATGGAGAATAAAAGATAGTTAGGGCCTATATTCAAATTTAAGTCTGAGAATGTCATTCCCGGCTATCTAGAGTTTAACTACACGCTGTTGTTGTTACAGACTTTGTGTGGTAAAGAATACAAAAGTTCAACAAATGTGTGCAAGAAAAATAAAATAAAAATTATTATTTCACAATTTAAAAATAAACACACACAACTCATTTCATGTGACGAACAATTTTACATAAACGCTTTTGATTGGTCAGAAGAAGATTCTACTGTAGTATTATATTTTCCGTGTAGGCTTATGGCACAGATGCATTACATACTGGCTTACATCTTACATGAGGATGTTTATGGATAACAAACTTTTTCCGAAGGATCAGTCTAACAACATTATCAGTAAGTACTGGGTTGTTTTGTTAAACATTTGGGAGCCTTAGATTTGTGCGATGACGCGAGTCGCGACGCTAGCACGGAATCACTCATGCGTGACCATCCTACCGGGCATCCTACGTTCTCTGCATACGTAGATTTGGCCAAATTGCATTCCAGAATCTATTCGACAAGGTGACATTTACGTTCTACGTCCTACCGTTGTCATGCAATCGAAAGCTTCCTGTTATTAATACAGTATCCATGGAGCAAAGCATTTCATTATACCAGAAAGCCTGACAAATTGTTAATGAAAAAGTTATCAAGCATAATTTTAAAGTTTTTATTATTTTTGTTGTTACTAGTATCAACTGCTACAAATAACCTACTAAAGTATTACTTTACTGTTTTCATATGTTTTTATCATCAAGTAAGATTTTATTAAAATCAATATTACTATTATTATCTTCTATTGTATTCTTTTATCTGGATTTCACTGTACAAAAATAAAAGCATATAGCACATTAAACATGGGATTTCCATCAAAATATTGTGAGTCAAATGCATAGCGTGAGGTATGTGTTTGATACATTGACCAGGGTAAATGGCGGAGTGGGGTTATCTGCTCCCCCTGTCTATGCCTATGATGGTTCTCCCAGAGGGCTTCAGTATGCATAAAACATAAAATCCCATTAAAAAAAGAAAATAATATCATTTAACAATAGAATAAAGTAATATTTTAAAAATGACAAAAGAGAATAACCTGCACCCAGATTTCTAAGATTACACAGATTATAGGGGATTATCTGCTATCTGAATGGTGGTATGGTTTGACAAAGGAATTCTATCTATAATGTATTGCAATATCTCCTAATGTACCACAGAATAACTTACTTTTGTGCTTCACAAGCATAACATTCTGTTCCTCCCGGATGTTTTTTACATTTTCTTATTATTTACCACATTCTCTATATATATTTATATTTCTCTACCAATTCGCGAATAAATGAATTGAAGTGAATTGAATTGAGTATCACTGTTTATGTTGGCATTCTATTATTACTTACGAACAATAAGTAAAAGGTTCAACAACATCGAAATTATTATGTGACTATTGTATAATTTCATTTCATTTCATTTATTTTGTCATTAGAAAAACATACAATAAGGACACGAGAAAATACAAACTAGACAGTAACAATAGCAATCACTGTTGTGTGGTTCTCCAATTACTTCTGCTTTCGAAATTCTATAAACTTCACAACACCACAAAAGCAATTTTTCTTGTATTCCTTATCCAATAGAATGTAAGTAAGTTAAAACTTCTTCAAACGATTTTAGCTACTAAACAATATCTAGGTTTGCTAGGTCTCTATTTTGGAAGGCAAGCACCTTAACCAACGAGCAACACTTGACGCTAAGTATGAAGGATAGAGTAAGGCAGGAGAAGATGCAGTGCAACACTTTCCTCTGTCATATACTGCTTGGACAGTCAAAATGTCAATATTCTGAACTACAGTTCTTGACCCTTCCCTGTGAAAGATCCTGTCAAGGGAATCAATGAATCAAATCAATCAATGAATTTATAAGTTAAACGAAGTTTAATGTTCTCTATTGTAATTCTTTGACAAATAGAAAGTCATTGTTTATGCTAATATATTTCTAACTTATTAGGCATGTGTAAAAGAGAAAATCTAGCCTAGTTCCTCTTAGATGGATGTTTACTTTAATATTCTCTATTATTATTATAATTTTTTGATAAACTAAAACTTCATTGTTTATGCTAATATATTTCTAAATAGAAAGTTACTTTAGCTAGTTTGCTTTGTTAAATCTTGATGACTACCTCAGTCATCTTTACGGTAAAAATTTAGATTCAAATTACTTGTTAACCATAAATAAAAGGTGCAACACTGAAAAAGATTTTACTTTAATTACTGCTTAATTTCCATAAACGTTTTGCTTACCAGTTTCGCAAAATAAGGAAATATTCTAATATTTCCTTATCCACCAATGATACTTTGGTTAAGCGATTTTTACTTCGTTAAATGTTGATGAATTGAACCTAACTCAGTTAGCATTGCGGTAAAAATTCTCATTAAAATTACTTACGAACCATAGAGTAAATGGTATCTGCTCCCCCGGTCTATGCCCATGATGGTTCTCCCAGAGGGCTTCAGTATGCATGAAACATAAAATCCCATTAAAAAAGAAAATAATATCATTTAACAATAGAATAAAATAATATTTAAAAATTGACAAAAGAGAATAACCTGCACCCAGATTCCTATAACCACAAGAGTTAGTATGAAACCTTCAAAGTATGAAGGTTAGAGGGGATTATCTCTTATCTGAATGGTGGTACGGTTTGACAAAACATTCTATCTATAATGTATTGCAATACCTCATAATGTACCACTTACTTTTGTGCTTCACAAGCATAACATTCTGTTCCTCCCGGATGTTTTTTACATTTTCTTGTTATTTACCACATTCTCAATGTATTATGATTCTCTACCAATCCGCGAGTATCATTGTTTATGTTGGAATTCTATTATGAAAACTTTTTGCTTTGTCTGTACTTACCTCAGTCAGCATTGCCATAAAAGTACTTACAAACAATAAGCAAAAGGTGCAACATCATAAAAATTATTATTATGTGACCATTCTATAATTGCATTTCATTTCATTTATTTTGTCAGAAAAACATACAATAAGGACACGAGAAAATACACTAGATAGCAACAATAGCAATCACTGTTAAGTGGTTCTCCAATTACCTCTGCTTCCGAATTTTTATAAACTTCACAACACAAAAGCAATTTTTCTTGTATTCTGATTCTATTTCCTCCTTATCCAATAGAATGTAAGAAAGTTGAATCTTCTTTATACGATTTTAGCTAGAGAACAATATCTAGGTTTGCTAGGATTTGAACCTAGGTCTTTATTTTGGTAGGCAAGCCGCGCACCTTAACCAACGAGCAACACTTGACACTAAATATGAAAGATAGAGTAAGGCAGGAGAAGATGCAGTGCAACACTTTCCTCTGTCATATACTGCTTGGACAGTCAAAATGTCAATATTCTGAACTATAGTTCTTGACCCTTCCCTGTGAAAGATCCTGTCAAGGGAATCAATGAATCAAATCAATCAATGAATTTATAAGTTAAACGAAGTTTAATGTTCTCTATTGTAATTCTTTGACAAATAGAAAGTCATTGTTTATGCTAATATATTTCTAACTTACTAGGCATGTGTAAAAGAGAAAATCTAGCCTACTTCCTCTTAGATGGATGTTTACTTTAATATTCTCTATTATTATTATAATTTTTTGATAAACTAAAACTTCATTGTTTATGCTAATATATTTCTAAATAGAAAGTTACTTTAGCTAGTTTGCTTTGTTAAATCTTGATGACTACCTCAGTCATCTTTACGGTAAAAATTTAGATTCAAATTACTTGTTACCCATAAGTAAAAGGTGCAACACTGAAAAAGATTTTACTTTAATTACTGCTTAATTTCCATAAACGTTTTGCTTACCAGTTTCGCAAAAACACTAAGGGAGGTTTTAGCATATTATTCTAATATTTCCTTATCCACCAATGATACTTTGGTTAAGCGATTTTTACTTCGTTAAATGTTGATGAATTAAACCTAACTCAGTTAGCATTGCGGTAAAAATTCTCATTAAAATTACTTACGAACCATAGAGTAAAAGGTATCTGCTCCCCCGGTCTATGCCCATGATGGTTCTCCCAGAGGGCTTCAGTATGCATGAAACATAAAATCCCATTAAAAAAGAAAATAAT